GAAAGCCCATGGAATGCCTTCTATTATGCAAAATGAATGAAGGGATGCTGTATTTCCAGAATTCAAAGCACATTATAAACTAAAGTAATCAAAAAGCAAGCTATTTCATAGACGGGGTACACTGATTAGCAGAACAGAGATGTTTCTACAGTGGTATTTTTTAATTTATTTGTTTTTAATTTTTTTCATTTTACATACCAATCCACATTCCCGTTCCCTCTCTGTCTCCCACCCCACCTCCCTCAATCCCACCCCCATTTTTAAATGATGCTAAGAACAGCCACAGTCTTTTCCAATAAGTAGTATTGACAAACCAGCAGTGCTGTTTTCTTTGTAAGCTCATCAATTTTTACTTTTACTTTTATTTTTTTAAAGATTTATTTATTATGTATACAGTGTTCTGCCTACATGTTTGCCTGCAGACCAGAAGAGGGCACCAGACCTCATTACAGATGGTTGTGAGCCACCATGTGGTTGCTGGGAATTGAACTCAGGACGTTTGGAAGAACAGCCAGTGCTCTTAACCGCTGAGTCATCTCTCCAGCCCCAATTTTTACTTTTAAAACCTTATCTACATCTGTATTTTGTATTAGTCCACCTTATAGTTTATTTTGCTTTAAAAATTTTTAGAATACTATTTAAATTTTTCTGTTAATTTCATTTGCTACATTTCATATTTTTGGGCTAAAATGATTAAGACATCCTTCTTTAGCTTTTCTATTCTACTTAGAAGCAAATATTTTTATATACATTGGTCCATTTACATCTCATTTATTCATTTATTGTGTTATAATTATTGCAAATAATGCATATAAAGACATCTCACATCCACAAACACTAGTGTGACAATAACACATTTTATATATGAATTTAAAGGAAATTCACCTTGAAATAAACACTGTCATGTACCTATTTCCATTTCTCTTTTTTATTTATTTTTATTGATTGATTCATTTGCTCATTTTGAAGGACTGAATTTTCACTTAATATCTTTTACCTTTAACTTGAAGAATATCTTTTAAATTTTTCATAGTAGAGGCCTACTCTCTGCAAGCATTAATACCTTGTTTTGTAATATTGTGTTTCATCTCTATTCTTGAATTCTATTATTTTTTAGTTGACATAGAACTTATTATTGTTCATCTTAATCACTCAATGTAAAGTGTTTGTGTTCCTTTGTGTAGGCTTCTGAATATAATTTTTTTGCTTTTTTTTACAACACAATATGTCACCTTTCTATTTCTATTGCAAAAAAAATGATTTCCCTTCTCTTTGCTTTAATTAGGATATGTCTATGTTTATTTTGATATTTGTTCTGTCAGGTGTCCAATATCATCCTACATATAAAATTCAGCTGTCCTTTGAATGTCTATATATTTTTACATCATTATTGCTTTAATATTATCTATTTTCAGCTAATACTTCTAATTTATCTTCTCTTAAATTAGAACATATTTTGTTTACCTCATTGAAAAAGAAATAGTATTTACTTCACATTTTTAATCATTTTCAACATCTGTTTCAACTTCTGGTCTCAACTACTTTTCTTTTAAAATTACAATCCATTTGTTCTTGGTTTGGGACATGTTAGTGAATTTGTAGTTGTATCCTGAACTTAATAAAAATATGTCCTGAGCTTCATCAAGATCAAGTTGTGAATGTTACAGTTTCTGTAATTTATTTTAAATCAGTACCATTTACATTGTTCTGGTAGATAATATTCTTGTTTGCACTAAAATCTCTTGTACTCTTGTGCTGGGTATGAAGATTTATCTCTAGGTTGGCTGTTTCAGATGAATTCTGCCCACGTGGGGTTCAAGAGGCAGAGAAATGTGACATGGGTTTTGAGGACCCTCTCTGAATCTCTATTTCTCACATATACCAATGTGTTCAAAGTTATTGGTTATTCAGGTTTTTTTATTTGTAATACTAGATCATAAATACTGTTTAATTACTACCTGATCCAATATACTTATGGGGAAGGTAGAGAGAGCAATCAAGATGGAGAGAGAGAGGGATGAGGAACAAATAACACTAGAAAATACATAGGGAATCATGTTACCTTATGTATGTATAGTTTAAATTTTTTATACCACTTAGGATTGTAATGCTCCCCCAAATATCCGTGAACAAAACCCCAATACCATGCATGAGAAACTTCCTCTACAATTTTCGATTATGGGACTATAAGAGATTCCCTTCCCTATAAAAAATAATACCAATAATAAGCTATTAACATTGCCTTTGTTTGCCTCCCAGTAAGTGAGGTCCTATCATTGAACAATTGAGGCACATCAGACACAGGACTTAGAAGAATTCAACTGGAGTCGATCTGGAAGCTCTTCACCAAGGACTAGCTATCACAGTATCTGAAGGTACTATGCAAGCTGCCAAGAGAAAGAGGCAGTTAGTAGTCTTACCTATCTGTGAAATCTGTGAACCACACCAGTGAGTAGACTGACAAGATACCCACAATGATGAAAGAGTGACACTATTTTCTTGTGGTTATCCACAGCTGTCTTATCGGACTTAAGGTGTGCTCATCAAGAGGAAATCACTGATTGTTACTGCAAACTTAGCTGACTGCCTGTGGCTGGTGAGGCCATAACTAGAGAGGACAAACTAGTATGAGTTTCCTAACACCAGTATAGCTTCTGTTCTACACATATCTGTCCTTATACCCAAAAAAGGGCAGTTCTTACTTCTCATCAAAGAAGCTTGTTTCACAACAAGTGAATATAACAGAAATACAGAACTGGTCAAAATGCAGAGAATAAATGCCTATGAGTGCCCACCCCTAATTGATACATTTGCAATATGATCCCTAAACCTACATCTTAGGGAAATAAATTGTCGAGTGAATAAAAGAATGTAAGAGCCAAAAGCTCAGGATATATGCAGATAGAACTATCTCTTAGATATGGCAGACAGAATACTCTCTCACCTATATGATGACCTGTATGAGACCAACATAATGACAACACTAGATGCCATGACAGTGTAGAGAGTAGGAATTCCATACAATCCGACCCCTAGAGGAACAGCTGTAAGAGGGTAATGGCTACTAATAGAGGAAGAATCAGCTGCATTCAGGGAAAAACGTTAACGTAAGTTCTACAAATCCATGTAGTTTATCTTGCTCATGAGGATGTATGAAAAAAGTTTAATGTACTGTATATAAATATATATATATATATATATATGTGTGTGTGTATTGTATACAAATGTACATAATCTTATATATAATATAATTATTATATATGCAAAATTAAGGAACAGATCATGAATTTGGGAAGGGGTAAGGATCAATTGGAGTAAGAAAAAGAAGGGGAGTGATGCAGAGGCAGGGCTCATGTATGAAATTCCCCAAAATACTAAAATTACTAAATGAAGTAACGATACCCTCCAATACAAAATAGTAAAAGTTTCTCGTATTTCCTCTAAGTCTTTCCTGTGCTGTTTTGCTCCAGACTGAAAACCGAACTGATGGAATGTGACTTGTAATTTCTTTATGTTCTTTCCTACACAGATCTTTCTTCCAACATGCTACCCTGGTGTTGCATTAACATGTCAGTTCTGGTGAGTTCATTTGTTTTAATTGAGTTGCTTAGAGATCCTTCTGCTCATATGTTCTTGTGCCTACAAATATAATTAGGTGGACTTAAAAACTCCAATAGATTTTTATTTTTAATTTAAAGAATCTACTTTCCTCACCATTCATGGCGTTCAGATAAAGTCTTTAACAATCACCATTGCCCAAAAACTACAGGGATAGATACATACCAGTCTCTTTGAATATGTTAAGTAAATATGTATAATATGTGAACTAAGATTGGACTGTTTACTAGGTGTCATAACCACACCTGGTTGTGGTGTTTTTGATATATACTTGAATCATCAAATTTTTAATTATTGTTCTCTTTTCCCCTTATCTCATCTTTGAGAAGACTTTGAAGATTAAGAACTTGGATATTAATCTAGGCAATGGTGATTGTTAAAGGCTAGCCTGATCTAAAACGTGGGATCCAGGACATCCAGTACTACACACACACACACACACACACACACACACACACACACACACACACACACACAAACTGTCTCAATAAAAACAAAACAACAAATATCATGAACTACGGAGGTCCAGCCCTTCAATAGTCCCCTCCCAGGGTCCAGGAAGAATCTACAACCAGCTGATAATTAATCTTTGATGAAAAGAAATGAATCTATGTACACGAAACTCCTTAGTCCATACACTTTATTATTTTGTGATGGTTCTCTCTCTCTCTACAAGCTTATACTCTGCTCTCATTTTTAGCTCATTTCTTGGCCAATTACTCTTTACATTTATCTGTTGTCCCAAGTTCTATCTTAATTCCTTCTTTTAGTTCTGCCCCTTCTAGGTTCTCATCCATCTAGTTCTTTCCCATATCAGCTCCTCTCCCATCTCCTTCTCTCTCATCTTGTTCTTCTCCATCTGGCTCTTCCTCATCTTCCATCTCATTCCTCTACTCTCTTCTAGCCCTTTAATCTAGTTCTTCCCCATCTTAGTTTGTTCCTCTCAAGTTCTTACCCATCTAGTTATTCCATTCTCTTTTCTCTTCTCCGTTCCCCTGTGCCCTGGAAGTCCTGGTATATATGTACACTTTCAAGCAGTATTCCCTTAGCAGTGTAAAACCAGGCTTCCAGGGTCAAATGGAGAGGTGATAAGAATCACATAGAGAGGCAATACCTGTTAATTATCATTTGCAACCCCAAACGGAAGTGACCAATGGGAAAATGAATTAACTAAAGGCTAACTTCTGTTAATATCTAAAAAGAGGGATCTTATGTGCTCAACTATAGTGTTAACCGGGATTAGTAGAAAATGTTAAGACTCAATAAGTTGCTAGGTCAATGGGAGAAAATAAAACTCCCTTCTTTTTTCCTGTGGCTCCTATCTGTTCAAGCTAGCTGCCATTTTTTTTTCTGCAGGGTGGGGGAAGGTGTGCTCAGTCGCTAGGCAACCTGTGTACAGGTACATGCCTCTGGTGATAGTTAAAGGGAGATCTGCAACTGGAGGTAAGATTTGGGAAAGGAGGAAGTTAAGCTTAATTGGCACATCTGTCAGGCCTTCTCAAACAGGTAGCCTGGATGCTTAAGTCTGTTCTTAGAGAGTACAGAGGTATCTCTAATAAGGTACTTTCCTCCATCTCGGGATGGACCTGGCCAGATACTGCCAATGATAATTATAGGGAGACTTGGCTGAGCATAACTGTCAGCACAGAAAGTTATCTAAATATTCCTAGAAGTGGTTAGGTAAGGAGTTGAAGGTCTATAAAGTTAGTATGGCTGTAATAAAGGAGGGTTGGAGCTAAATTGTGTAAAGTTATTACTTAACGTCCACCTAACCTAGGTAATGTCTTCTTGTGGAATTTACCTTAAATCAGGAGACTTGTTATTACTGTTAGCCCTTGAGAGTGGTTAAGGGAGATAACTGATTCCAGAGAAAGCCTTTCCTGATGCTGTTCTCCAAATACCTTGAATGTGTATGTCCAGAGAGTGATCAGTCCACACTGTTAGCCCTTCTTAGGGAAAAGTCAATTCGGAAAACTATGAAAGCACATATGATTTTCATAACAGAAGACAGCTAATATATAACAGCCAAATAACACCAAGAGCTCCTTGGAATTTGGCTTCCTCTGGAGGAATTCCTTGATCCCTCCAGGTAGTGACTTTACCATAACCAGCTGAGTTCTTATGATATATTCCTGTGGCCTGCAGCAAACAAAAACAAAATAAACTAACTAATAAAAAAAACCTTTGATATTAAATGTTAAGATAACATGGGAATATGTGTCCTCTAACCTCTTCTTTTGTGAGTCTGAGCATGAATAACAGTCTTTCTCAACTACCTGTTTCTCCATGGCTATATACTTCAGAAGCCCAAAACATTTTAAGTTTTTTAAGGAAATATTCACTTTCATAAGGGGCAATTATTCTAGCATGGCATTTATGCCTCCAAGACATTCTTCAATTTTTTTCATATTTTCCTGTATTTAGAAGAATTACTTTTAAAATGTACTCATATCCTATTTTTTATGAAATATGGTAATTTTTTCTTTACTTATCCAATACTTTGAGGATTTGAGGAAAATTTGTTACAAAGTAATATTTAAATTAGTATTTACATTTTATTTTATTTTTAAATTAAATACTTGAGTATTTCATAATGAATCTGATCCCACATTTCTCTACCCTCCCAATGTGTTTTCAATTTTTTCAAAAGCAATGAGTCCAATTCTAGCTGCTCATACACCCTTGGAGTGTGGCCTTCCAACAGAGCATGGTCAACCCACCAGGGACAACATCCTTAAAACTAACCCTCCTTTTTCCAGAAGCTATAAATAGCCAATAAGTCTTATCTAAGGCTAAGATCTCATGCCTACCCACCCTATCCTAACCCCAGTGCTGACATTCTGCCTGAATTTAAATTGCACAGGTCTTGTCCATGTTGTTGCTACTACTGTGAGTTAATGTTTTCATCTACCATGTTGTGTCAGGAAAACATTCTTACCTTGTAGTCATTCACTCCTTTTTTGTCGTTGTTATTGTTTGTTTTTTTTCACAAAGCAACATATTTTTCTAGATAGAATTCTCAAAAATTACCATTGTGTAAAATTAAGTTTAAAAAAAGAATATTTTATCACTCCTTACTTATTTGAACCTATTTCTCTAAACTGATCTGTCCATATGCTTTGAATCAAGCTATGGAAATTCTACGCTAAAGAATAATCTAGTTATTTTGTTATTACACTAAAATACTCATTAGTTGAGACCTGGATCCACTGTACTTTTGTATGTGAATTTCATTTCCAACTCCTGTCATTTAAGAGAGACTTTATTTCTAACTTTTGAAGAATATACATTCTGATTTCCATAGTGGCTACACCAGTATGCAATCTCTCCAGCAGTAAGCAAGTAAATCCCTTTCCCGTATCCATTCCTACACTTGAAAAATGTTGTTCTTTATCTTAACCATTTTGACTAGATTTAGATGAAATCTCAGAATAGTTTTAATTTTCATTTCCCTGTTACCTAAGGACACTAGACATATTTTTAAACAACTCTCAGTCATTTATATTTTATCATTTAAGAACTCTTAGTTTAGTTCCATGCCCTTTTTTAAAAAATAAAATTGCTGCTTTGTAGGATTTTTAATATAGTTTTTAATATGTTCCAGATATTGACTGTCAGATGTATAGCTGGTGAATATTTTTTTTTCAATTCTTTAGCCTGCTTCTTTACTCACTGGATAATATATTTTGCTGTACAGAAACTTTTTGTTTAATGATGTTCTATTTTTCATGGTTAGTCTTAATATGTACTTTATTGGGGTCAGGTTTACCAAGTTATTTCCTCTTCTAACTTCAAATACATTCCCTGCCTTTTTTTTTTTTTTTTTTTTTTTTAATCAGAATCATGGCACTAGGTCTTATGTTGAGTTCCTTGATACAATGAAATTGAGCTTTGTTCAGGGTGAGAGATAAGGATCTAGTTTCCTTCTCCTACATGTAATTATCTAGTTTTACTAGTACTGTATGTTGAAGATGGTCATTTTTCTCCATTGTATATTATTAGTTTATTTGTCAAAAATCAGGTGGCTTTAGAATTGTGGGCTTGTTTGTGGATCCTCAAGTTTATTCCATTAGTCAGTTTGTCTGTTTTAGGCAGTATAATGCTGTTTTGATTATATTTGCTCTATAGTATTACTTTACTTGATATCTAGGATGATGATATCTACTGTATTGTTTTATTGTTCAGGATTGTTTTGATTATCTTGATTCTTTTGTGTTTCCATTGTTGTGCCCAGATCGTGACCCCCAGAGAGACCACCAAAGATGAGCATGCCAGAATGCAAAAGCAAGGTTTAATTCTGGATATCCAAAAGCAATACAAGCCTAGGCAGGGACTTTGTCCAATACATCCAATCCAACGCAGTGGAGGTTGGAGGAAGTGCCCACCTATCTGCAAGCTCAGGTTTTAAAGGGAAAATTACAAGGTTACATCATTTAGGGGTGCTAGTACAGGTACAATTCTGATTGGCTTGCTTCTAGGGACTTCTAGAAATTATTTCTAAGGGAGTGGTTCCTGCCACCATTTCTCATTGGCTGCCCTCAGGTGGGGGCATTTCTATGGTCAGTTACCCTGGAAACCAGGGAAAGGACATTCCATAGTCTGGCAGGCATTACCTCATGACTACCTTGTGACTCAGTACTTTTATACTTCCTAATTTCTGGAATCTGAACTGACTGGTTTCAGTAACTAATGGCCTATTCCCAAAAGGAGAAATCTTAGGCCTCAATTTTAGGGTGAAAGCATTTTGGTCTTATTTCTAAGATGGCTCATTTTGGTCTTATACCATATGTACTAAAATTAATTTAACATCATTTTGTTATTTTAGAATGATTTTGAATACCCTTGCAATATAAGAGCAACTACATAGGAAGCTATATTTTATAATGATTCAATATGTCATAATTAATATCAAATAAATATTCAAACCAATGGCTCAATAGTGCATGTGCTGATATAACCCACATTATTCATTTTAGGGTTTTTTTTTTTTTTTTTTTTGGTGTTCTTGTGTTGGGCCACAAGAACATATTATACAGATTCAGATCTGTATTAAAGCTATACTTTGACCAGCCAAGGGTCTGTCAAAAGGTAAGCCATTTATTGTGAATATTTGGTGTTATCCAGCTTTTAATATTTCAGCTGTCTTCTGCTATGAAATTCTTGTGTGTCCAAATGTTTCCAGACCATTTGGCTAACAGCCCAGCTCCTCAGACCTGAACTTCTTGGTAACTAACTCCCTCACTGAGCCTAGGAGACAAGGGCTGGAAATACATAGCTTTGCTTCTTGTGGAAATGAAGCTCAGACCATCCCCTTGCCTTGATGCCTAGTGGCTCTCCCAAGCAACTGACTGAGAACAAAAGAGGTTTTTACATGTCAAGGTGGAAGGTAGGGTGGAGCAACATTCCTGAGGAGGCAGAGAACCTTGTGGTCAGGGGGAGAAGGAACAGACATTTCTGTAGAGACAGACAGAATGGTATGACCAGGGAGAAGAGAAGAACGCAGAGGTAATGTAGATGGTAAGGCAGAACTCTTGAGTCAGGAGTAAAGAGCAAGTAGAAATGGAGGGAGAAGAAACAGAGGATGAATATGAGGCAGGAAGCATAAGAGCTTAGTGGTTAGCAGTACTTTGAGGGAACAGTGAAAGAGAGGACAAAGGGGAACTGGATGTCAGGATGGAACTGAAGCTATGGAGACAGGATTTCACCCCAGAGAAATAAAGTAGTTGGATAAGGAGCTTGGTGCATCTAGAGTCATTCCTGCCCTGAATGCCTGACAGAGCTGTAGCTGTGTAGATAGTTTTGTCTTAGAGGAATAAAGTTAACAGACATAAGAGTATAGTGTATGTAGATTTTTTTCCCTTAGATATACCATGCTGGACATAGTGAAATCCCCAGACCCTGGGTTATCCATATGTACTGAATATTTAGATGTTTTGAAGCTTTCATAATATTTGTATTGTTTTTATTTTATTTTATTTTATTTTTTTTTGAGCTGAGGATCGAACCCAGGGCCTTGTGCTTTCTAGGCAAGTGCTCTACCACTGAGCTAAATCCCCAGCCCTTTCATAATATTTGTAATCCTTTCATGTAGGATATCAGCAAAGAATTCTTTGTCAAAAGGACTCACTGCAGGTGTATGTTAGCAAAGTGTTTCTTTTCCCATGTTAGTGATGAATAGTTGAAAGTCATTCAGTTAGATTAAATCATATATTAGTCTACGAAATTTATTTTATGGCATATCACTTTGTTGTTTTATCAGTTAATTCAGTTTATTTGTTTGAAGGATATGTTCACTCTACATGTTTGTCTTAAATATACATATAAAACATTTCAGGAGTTGCAAAGACAACTCAGTGGTAGAATACATGCTTATCGTGTCTGAGACCTTAGATTCAATCCCGAGCATTTAAACAAATAAAGTCATTCAGTAGTTTATTTCTAGT